CTTTCCCACAAAAAGTGACATGGTTGCTGCAGGCTGGGAATTCAACTGTAAATTAGCCAGGGCTCTTATCATCCTTGTATTTTTATAGGAATACAACCAGAATGCAACCAGTTGACAACCACATTAAACAAGTCATCTGCTGCAAAGAGACGTCTCAGAAAAGTTACCCTCATAATGCAGACTGACTCCGTTTGATTGCAGTGGGTTGCAATCTGCGTTTATGAATTAGACAGCAATCATTTGCTAACTTCAGAGTGATTATAGTCGGTCCAAGTCACACTGCAGTTATTGCCTCCTAACAGACAACCTTTTTGCAGTTGCTTTGTGAGTTTGAGGGTTTTGCATGCTTAAGCTCTGCTTGACCAGTTGGTCGCTGCAACTATTTGCACTCAGTCTCCAAACAGCAAAAATATTTAGTGTAGTAGTTGCAAAGAGGTTGCTGTCCTTTTTTTTTTTTTTACTTTAGTGTGACTAAGCTATTAAAAATTGTACCCTGTATAAAAATAGTCTTTTTCCTCTCTGTTTTTAGTCATCTGTTTAGTCAGAAATTATGTGCTCTGAATTTGTTTGTTTGTTTTTGTATTTGGGTGCATTTGTGACCTATGCAAACGTGAGTTAGCTTTATGCTAACATTTCCTTCAGCCAGGGCAGAGAACAGAGCAGAACAGAGCTGGGCTGCCAAATATAAACTACTATGGATAAAAATACACACTGCATCTGCCGTGTTTTACAGATGATGTGGTGTGCCTTCTACATGCTTATTGTTTGCAATCATTCTGGTAGAGGGTGATCTTGGTGTCAGCAAAGTATTGTCAAACTTAATCTTTCTATTCTTGAGGCTTATGAGTGACTTGTGCCTTGCAGTGAACCCTCTGTATTTACTTTCATTCAGTCTTCTCTTTATGGTAGACTTGGATATCAATAAGCCTACCTCCTGGAGAGTGTTTTTCACTTGGCTGGCTGTTGTGAAAAGGTTTTTCCTCACCATAGAAATAATTCTGTGATCATTCAACACTTTTGTCTTCTGTGGACATCCAGATCTTTTTGCCTTGCTGAGTTCACCAGTGCTTTATTTCTGTATCAGGATGTTCAAAACTGTAGATTTTGTCACTCCTAATACTACTACAAGGAGCTAAAACTCCTAAACCCTTCATCCAGTTTGAATGTGGACACCCTCAAATGAAACCTGAGAGTCTAAACATTATGTCCTTTTCCGTTATATAAGTATAATTGGAAAATGTTTCAGTAAACAGGTAAAAGAAAAATGTGTCAGTGTCCAAATATATATGGACATAACTGTAGATAATGTTTAGAAATCTTTAACTTTGTTTGGTGCAATAATAAATCATGGTAATTAAATATATTAATTGTTTATAGTTTTCATTATTGGCCAGCCAGGAAAATCAACCTGCAGGTCACAAACAAACCTTTTCATATCCTCTATTAATATGATATATAACAGTCAGTTAAGAGAAGAAATTAAAGTGTATAAGTGTCATATTTATTCATTTTTTCATGATTTTTCTCTTCTTTAAAAATACCATCTGCTCTGCATGATCACTGAGATCATCCCTCTGCACAATGATTCGCTGGATTGCATTGAACAGTTAATAAAGTCTATCCTCCCTGTGCTAACAAGGTTGCGGGAGGATTTTATCCTCACTTGCTTTTTGTCTCTGGACACATTATTCGGTGGCACTAAGTAACTTTTAAAAGCCTTTAATTTAGTAGAAGCCCCATGCCATGATGCTTTTAAAAGCATTGGATTTCAATAATGAGTGGACGTGTTAAGTTATTCATCAATGGCGCTCTATCCATGCTGGCCCTGAAGAACCCAAACAAAACATCAGTCACTTAATTTGCCCTTACAGTGTGTCCATTTAATTCACGTCAGTCAGCACAGTAGCACTTAGGGTGGCAGTGCTTTTATGTGTCACTGCAGACTGCTGTGCATGAATAAATATTTATCAAGCTCACGATAAAGTGCTCTCTGGGTTCGTGTTTTATTATCACAGTCATATTGAAGGCACGCGTTAGCGTGGTTAGCTCATTAACGCATTAGCGCCGTGCAGCCCCATGCACAGGGCGATCCGCGCTAACTCGCTAACAGAGATTTGACACGTTAATGCAGTTATGGCGTTAACGTCATTTTAACAAGATTAACGCTGACAGCACTAATAAATACTAAACACATAGAGCACAGCTGTTTATGAAATTGCCTTTTCATACATAACACAAAATGCATTGTTGGTCTGTTTTTGTGAGCCACACACAGGTGGACAGTCCTTGGTCTTGTCGTTCTTAGAACTTATAATGGCAACAAACAGACTGTCTTTTCTTGAGTTTAGCCTTTAGAAAACTCTTAACAGTGCATTTGTATATAGTGGTTTCCATGCACTCCCCTCAGTGAATTCTCTTCCAGCAGCAGATCAGTGACTGGACTGCTAATGGACCCTGACGAACAGGAAGTGGAAAGTAGTATATAACAAGCCACTGGAGACAACACGTTGTACTCTGGAGGGCCATTAACCAAAGTTTCCATTTATTTATCTACACACCAAAAATAGGAGGGTGTAGCGGCTTCTTGCTAATTGCCAAACAGAAAACCATTGAGGTAGCTGGGGAGCAGCACCATAGCAGCAGACTCCTCTCTGGTAGTTCCCGATGGTTGTGTTCCACTCAGTAATTTTCTCTGATGCACGCTGGCAGGACGGAGATACCTGCTGCACTGACTGACGTAACAACCTGGTTTCCAAAGTGGCACCAGGGACCGAGCATGTGCAGTGGAACTGTAGTGTCACGCAGGAGGAGAAGCAGGACAGATGTCAAATGAGTTGACGAGCACTGCAGAAAAAGGCTCCGGATATGAGTGCAGGTACCTTGTCAGAGCTTTTCTCCAGGAAAGGCAAGCAGCGGCTGGCTCTATGAGCTTTCGATGCCCACAAATGATACCCGCCAGACCATTTTACAAACCGTAACTGACACCCATGAAGTGCTCTAAGTAAGCCCCAGGGAAGGGTAAGGTTAAGCTCGAAAACAAAACACTAAAGCGGGTCATGTAATAGGCCTCTCATTTTGCCGCTGCCTTTGTCAAGCCTGCTGAAGGAAACCTAATTTATTTAATAGCCTGTCGCTTCAATTCCGGGCGATCGTGCGAGAAAACAGAAGGCAGAAATGATGAAAGCATAGCAGGAGAGAGGGAGGACAAACACTTTCTTCACATTCACTAGCGAGATGTGATTTCGAAAGTGAGGATCTGTGTCAGCCATCTGGTGATAACGAATAGCAGAGAACTATGTCAGCATGCTTCTTTCAATAATGCAAGCATGCATGCTGTCACTACATAACTGACATTTCAAGGCGAGACTTCCGCGAAATGCCAACTTCTGTGCATCTGTTACAGATATACTGTACATGCATAGCCCCCATTTTCTTCTGACAGAATGAATCTGTTGAAAAAATAAAACACATTCTCCTTTGTGCCACTGTACGTTCTTTATTATTACAGGAAGCGATTCAAGCGTGTTGCAAATGACTGTATTTGTTTTCAGCGGCATTTGCATTTGCAGGGATTTAGCCGGCATCCCATTCTCTCTCTCCGTTTCTTTGCACTAGCACTCATATTAAGCTAATCAAGGTTGCCAGCAGAGATAAATCAAATCTAAAGCTTAGAGGTCTTGACAGAACGTATTGGCCTTCGGTGAAATGAAAAAGCATTTCTCATTCGACAAAACATAAGCTGCTGATTTCATGCTTCCGTGTTCCTTTCAAGGCCTTTGCGATTGTGAGAGGTGACAAATGATGCATAAATACTTTAGAAAAGCATTACTTTTGATTGGGGCAGATTTTCTGTCATATATAATAACATTATTTTATGTGATCACGGCTTCATATGGTGAATGATTGAATCAAGACCATTTTATTTACTGTATATATGGTTTCTGAAATGTGGCACACAACACATGAGTTTCAGCAGGACAATTAAACTGCCAAACACTCTGCAAAGTGTTTGACAGATTCATACACCTCTGCATCCGGCATTCTCCTCCCCTCCGTCTTTTATTGTTATAGAATGCAAATGTTATATCACCCATGTAGTACTAAAGAATCTCACCATTGGTATTTTTCTCTTTACAGCCCCAGTCAGCACTTACACTGCACTTTACTGCCGTTTCCTTTTCATGACTGTGTTCACAGCATCACTTTAAACCTTGTATAAAATCAAGCATCCACCAGCTTTTGCAGACTGATACCCTGGTTAAACTTTGACTCTAATGCCTTTTAAGTTGCTTAAAATCTGTCTGAGCATCCGAACAGCTGTCTCAAAGGGTCCATTTGACTTCTCCATAGCAACGCTGCCAGATGAAGTTTCTTTTTAATGCTCATTACTCTGTATAAAAATGTTTACTGTGGGTTATCCGGCATGCTGGTTCAAATTACTATGACTGTAAATTCAAGGATTCAGTGATCGGCCAAAAATCTTTTCATATGCAATAATACAGTTTATTGAAAAAAAATTTAAAATATACAATGTGTTGTTGAGATATCATGGTTTCATTAAAATTAAATGAGAAAAGTCATCACAGCGTACATTCGCTGGCCACTTCATTAGGTTTACGTGTCCAACTGCTTATTAATGCAAATATATAATTAGCCAATCACATGGCAGCACTTTATTTAGGCATGTTGACATGGTTGACAGCCCCCTGAACTTCAAACCGAGCATCAGATTGGGTATGAAAGGTGATTTAAGTGACTCTGAACCGGACGGGTTGCTCTGAGTATTTCAGAAACGGCTGCTACTGGGATTTACTCACACAACCACCTTTAGGGCTTAGTGTGAATGGTCTGAAAAAGAAAATATTCAGTGAGCAACAATAAGTCAAATAACCACTGGTTACAAATAAGGTATGCAGAAGAGAATCTCTGAATGCACAATATGTCAAACCTTGAAGCAGACGGGCTACAGCAGCAGAAACCCACACCAGGTGCCACTTGTGGGGAATATTTTCTTGGCTCATTCTGGGCCCCTTGGTAAACACCACAGCCTACGTGAGTATTGTTACGGACCATGTCAAACCCTTTATGACCACAGTGTACCCATCTTTTTCTTCCAGCAGGATGACACATCGTTCTCACTCTAGGAGTAACTAATGAAGTGTCCAGAGAGTGATTTTTCTTTTTTGCTAAATGATTGTGTTAGATACTTGTAGTTCAAAAACATATACCCTTAGCTTGTAGCTTTATAAAAAATGTGAATACTTATACGAAAGTCATGCAAACAAAACATAACATTAATATTCAAACAGTGGTGATTCTCCGGACATTCTTGCAGTCATCCTCTGGGGGACACATGTTGGCCTGGCTCTCACTTTGTGTAGAAAAGCTGCTCGAGGACACGACATCAGGGACCTGATGAAACTGTCAAAGTTTAGGTTTTACTGAACAAAACTACAACATTTTTGAGCAGAGTAGAAGAACAACAGGTACCTGTGATATGAAAACACCAAGAAGAAAACTACCGCCTTAAACTAATAGGAACCAGTCATTCACTAATGACCAACAGGAGAGATATAAACAGCAAGACAACTTGCAAGTCTTCTGAGGTGCAATTACAGTATTGACAAGACCAAGCTGGAGGATACATTGGAAGGGTCTGGTCTATACATCTGTAGATCATCATTTATGATACATTATGACAACGAGGGTCATGACAGATGTCCTGTTAACTAAAAATAGTGTCATTATTACTGGTTAATGCAGTAATCTGTTGAGATTAATCTGCATGATGGGAGGCCAGCAGAGGTGCAAGAGTGCATTTCCCTTATGCTCTTTGTAAAAGGGAAGGATGTGACATGACGTCCAGCTGCAGAATGACTGGCCGAATTATTCAGCTCCAGTTCATCTCTGTTTCTCTGACTCCTATCCCTCCCACCTTCTCTGTTTCTATCTTACCTTGCGAAAGCTGACAAAGTCCATCTGTCTACGAGTTTCCCAGAATAGCTCACTGTTAACTGCATCTGCAGAGTGAAAAACAGCTTTTTAGCTTCATCTAACCTAACAGCTCCTTCAAGCGGCAACAGCATACTTCGGACCTGAAGGAGACCTCAGTAGGAGAGAGCAGGATTTAGGAGGTTTAATGGCTCAGAGGTTTGGAATGGGTAGCACACAATCGTGCTGTTTTACACCCAGATACAGTGGGGCAAAAAAGTATTTAGTCAGCAACCAATGGGCAAAGTCCCCCAACTAAAAAGAAGAAAAAAGGCAAGAAATTGCAACAAAAGGAAAACTCAAACGGGAAAAAAAAAAAGGGAAAAAAAAAACCAAGAATCCACATGGTAGGATTTGTAAAGAATTTATTCGTAAATTAGGGTGGAAAATAAGTATTTGGTCACCTCAAACAAGGAAAATCTCTGGCTCTCACAGACCTGTAACGTCTTCTTTAAGACGCTTTTCTGTCCCCCACTCGTTATCTGTATGAATGGCACCTGTTTGAACTCATCATCTGTATAAAAGACACCTGTCCACAGCCTCAAACAGTCAGACTCCAAACTCCGCCATGGCCAAGACCAAAGAGCTTTCGAAGGACACCAGGAAAAGTATTGTAGACCTGCACCAGACTGGGAAGAGTGAATCTACAATAGGCAAGCAGCTTGGTGTGAAAAAATCAACTGTGGGAGCAATCATCAGAAAATGGAAGACATACAAGACCACTGATAATCTCCCTCGATCTGGGGCTCCACGCAAGATCTCATCCCGTGGGGTCAAAATGATCATGAGAATGGTGAGCAAAGATCCCAGAACCACACGGGGGGACCTGGTGAATGACCTGCAGAGAGCTGGGACCAAAGTAACAAAGGTCACCATCAGTAACACACTACAACGGCAGGGAATCAAATCCCGCAGTGCCAGACGTGTTCCGCTGCTGAAGCCAGTGCATGTCCAGGCCCGTCTGAAGCTTGCCAGAGAGCACATGGATGATACAGCAGAGGATTGGGAGAATGTCATGTGGTCAGATGAAACCAAAGTAGAACTTTTTGGTATAAACTCAACTCGTCGTGTTTGGAGGAAGAAGAATACTGAGTTGCATCCCAAGAACACCATACCTACTGTGAAGCATGGGGGTGGAAACATCATGCTATGGGGCTGTTTTTCTGCCAAGGGGACAGGACGACTGATCCGAGTTAAGGACAGAATGAATGGGGCCATGTATCGTGAGATTTTGAGCCAAAACCTCCTTCCATCAGTGAGAACTTTGAAGATGAAACGAGGCTGGGTCTTCCAACACGACAATGATCCAAAACACACCGCCCGGGCAACAAAGGAGTGGCTCCGTAAGAAGCATTTGAAAGTCCTGGAGTGGCCTAGCCAGTCTCCAGACCTCAACCCCATAGAAAATCTGTGGCAGGAGTTGAAAGTCCGTGTTGCTCGGCGACAGCCCCAAAACATCACTGCTCTCGAGAAGATCTGCATGGAGGAATGGGCCAAAATACCAGCTACTGTGTGTGCAAACCTGGTAAAGACCTATAGTAAACGTTTGACCTCTGTTATTGCCAACAAAGGTTATGTTACAAAGTATTGAGTTGTATTTTTGTTATTGACCAAATACTTATTTTCCACCCTAATTTACGAATAAATTCTTTACAAATCCTACCATGTGGATTCATGGATTTTTTTTTCACATTCTGTCTCTCACAGTTGAAGTGTACCTCTGGTGCAAATTACTGACCTCTGTCATCATTTTAGGTGGGGGAACTTGCACAATCGGTGGCTGACTAAATACTTTTTTGCCCCACTGTATGACAAATTATGGTTGCCTGAAGATGCACTGGAGCCACCTACTGTAGTTATGAATTATTAAGGGGTTAAAACCTAATTGACATTTTAAGAAAAACGCGTTAAGCTATTTTCAAATACCTTACATACCCAAAGACTTATTTGTAATTTATATGTGTATTTATGTAAAGTCATGGTAAAAAAAAAAAGTACTTATATTCTAAAGCTTTATTCCTGCCTAGCAAATGTAGAAGGCAGGACAAGTAGAAGATCACAGAGAAGATTCATGGATGCAGTGAAGGAGGACATGTAGAGGGTTAGTGTGACAGAAGAGGATAGTAGGGATGGGAGCGAGGGAGACGATCTTCTAAAGGAAGCAACTGAAAAAAATATATACAGAACAAGCATAATGCCATGAAACACAGCATATCAGCACAAACACCTGATTCCAACTGTTGAGCATAGTGGTGGAGGGTGGGTAAATTGGCTTTTTGCAGCAACAGGAGCTGGGCATACTCTGGTCATCGAGTCAACCATGAAAGTATTCTAGACTCATATGTGAGGCCATCTGTCCGACATCTAAAGCTTGGCCATTATTGACTCATCAATAGGACAGTGATTACAACTGTTGCAGTCAAAGTCCAAAGCTCAGTGATTGAAATGTCACGGTGGGACACAAACCTCAATGAACAGAAGCACTGTTGTACAGAAGAGTGGGACAAAATTCTTCCACAGCGTGAAACACTGATAAGGTCACAGAGGAAAAGATAAGTTTTTGTTTTTGCTGCTAAACTTGTTTATACAAGCTAGGAGTTCACGGTTTATTCATTAACTGCAAAGCGCCCGGGTCCTGCAGCTGCAAAACAAACCCAAATCATCACCACTCCACCATCGTGCTCAACAGTTAGTTTGAGGTGTTTGTACTGATATCTTTAGCAAATAATGGGGTCTACTTAGTTTTTCATGCACTGCTATTGTTTTATTGTTAAATAAATAATGACATCATGTAAATGTCATGTTTTATAGGTCATCTGAGGTTGCTTTGACCTAATTTTAAGACCAGAGCCAGATCCTTTTTTTCCCCGGGGAGCAAAACCTTTGATTTTTTTGTTTGTTTGTTTTACCATGTCTATTGTAAAAAGCCAGTGTGATTGATTTATCTTGTTTTTCTTCCTCTTCCACCACAAATCATGTGTAACTTACATTACACATGATCATTTTGCAAACCATGCAGCTGTGCTTTTGAATTCTGCATGAATATCTTTTTCTACTGGCTTACTCCCCACATGGCTCACAAATTCTAATGTTACCTACATTTTGTAATTCTGTACAGCAAACATGAAAAGCTACATTGTTATTGTGGAAAAAGCCAAAGCAGCCAAATCACTCTGCAATAAAACCGCACTGCTAAGTGATCATAATCTGACTTTGACAGAAGAAATTAAAAACTTTATCATATTATAGATTTATTTTTGAATTAGTCACGCACGTTTCAAAACGTCTATTATGTGAAAATGAAACCTGCTCAGGCGCCAGTGCTGTAATTTACCGGGAAAGGTCAATACAGAAATTGATCACTGAACACAGCACATTACGCTGAAACATCTCCGGAAGGCAACACAAACACTGAAGTCGTTTAGATCAGTGCGACTGTAAACATATCCGAATGGTAACGACCTCAATACTTTTAATTGAATGCTAAGATCTGCTGGTCACTCTCACCTGTGGGGCTCTCACTAGAGTATCCCAGGTTAACTTTCCCTTCCGGCGCATCAGCATCGACGCTTCTACTAAACACCGATTGGTCAAACCTGCAATAGAAATGATAACGATTAGCGGAGGTATGGCAGAGTCACATCATCAGAGGCTGTTGTGAAAAGACAATTTTCTTCTCCCAGCTAAGCTGCAGTATATTACAGGCCTCTGTGCTGTTTTCATTATAAAGTACTTGGACATCATTCTTCACTTTATTTTACTATCAGACTGAAGTACTCAACTCTGAATGTGTATTTCAGCTATATGGAAAACAACTGTTGAATAAGTTAGCTTCCTAAAAGAGCTAATGACAGTCCGAATCATGTTAAATTACTACCAAAATAATTACTTTTTAAAGGTGGAATTTCAAATTTGTGCCTTCAATTTTCTTTTATAATGATAATCAATGAAAACCTCTTCATTCCCAGAAATAAGCTGCATGAATTCTTAACAGCTAATGTAAAATATAAATGGAGCTCAGTGCACCCAGGACTGTGCTGTAGGTCTCTGATTACAGAAGCTGCTTCCTCCACAAAAAAGTCCCACAGTAGATCTAAGGGTTAGAAATCTCTGTATATAAATAAAGAGCTCTTAAATCTCACCTTAGTACCTCCTGCGGGCTTGTTTCTGAAAAGCAAAAAAGAGAGAGAGAGAGGCATCGAGTTTACTGTAATGAGCTATCAGCTGCTAACTTTATTATTCTCACTGCATTGACCACAGAAACATTATGCTTGCTCATTGCATCTACATCAATATGAAAGCTGTAAATGTCCTGCTGTTTATTAGTTTGGGTTCTGCACTAATATCACAGCCTCCAGCCAGTCTACAATTTAGCACTGAAAGCTGGAGCTAATGAGTTTTGTAACATGGCTTCATGGTTTCCTTTGCCAAAGGTCCTCCTGGCCATGGCGAGAACAACACCAGCGTAACAATGGTACAGATGGCACTTGCCTCGGGAGAGATATAAATGCTTCACTTTCCCTTTATAGGCAGAGAACCAGTCTTTGTCATTATATTTTAAATCCCTGCTGTCACGCTGGCCAACGTCTTTGAGAGCTAGATCCCTTACATTTCTCCCCCATAATTCCAAAGCATACATTAGTCCCTACTGAGGTGGATTACTCAGAGAAGAGCTCAGCAACTCGAAAGCATGCCACATCCCGTAACATTAGAAGCATCCTTATGAATTAACTCAAGGATGTTTCAAAGAATGGAGCAAGGACAATGACGGAGGAGGTATCAGACGTTTCAGGTACTGAATCAACTGCCAAAAGAGAAAGGTCACACCTGCTTTATAATAATCCCCTGGCTCCAAACCATGGCCACAATTTGCAGTGGTCCAGAATCAGTCACAGGGATTACACTCACTAAAAATGTGTGACTCAGGGCCACTTTTTTCTTATCGCACACAAACAGACCTCTTCTGCCTCCTAGAGTGAGCTTCCCCTCGGAGATGGCCTTTGTTATCTGTAGTCTTTAATTACTGTATGCTTGGTGAGTTTTTTCCTTAAGAGTTGTGTGATTAGATTGATAAACCTTTCTTGTTTGTACAGTAAATATGAAACAAAGAGCACAGTCAGTCAGAATAGCTTAACACATAAAAAGGTGTCTCTATTCAAAAGTAGAAAATCCACCTAAAAAGCACATTTTATCCAGTTTGCCTACAATAACCTGAGAATCAAACATAGAAGATGTAACATTTAATGAATTCTTTGAATTGTTCTTTTTCCAAGATAGAGTGATTGTACAAAATAAATATTTAATGACATTAAATAACACGATTTTCTATAATCCACACAGAGCCAAAGTATACATACAGGCTCAAATATATAAATACATTCCCTTTAAATAAGTGGTGCTGAAGGTTTTGCAATGTCTTTAAGCTTGACAAGACCTCTTGTCAGTAATCAATTTGAGCACATCTGGTAGTTTCTTTTAATAGCATGCAGCAGACTGACCAATGCTCGATGCTTTTGGGAAGATCTCTGAGATCCATTGCTGAACACTGCAGACTCCAAGATCATCAGTTTAAACAACTCGAGGTAAAGATTTTTAAGCTGTGTCACCATGTTGGTGAAGTCTGGAAGTAGACCCAAGCTGTCACCCTCAGATGAGAGGAAATGTGTTAGGATGTTCAGGAACAACCACAAGGCTTAAGCCTGTCATGAACTGGAAACTGCTGGAAAACCAGTAACACTGTCCACAGCGAAGCAAGTTTAACATCACCATGGACTGAGAGGGTGCTGGCCAAGAAAGAAGCCCAAAATCAGCACCTTCAAACCTGCCTGAAATTTGCACCTTTCCACATGAATAAGAAAAGTTTTATGATCAGAAAAGGCAAAGACTGAGTTATTTGGCTACAATAACAAGAGGTAAGTTTGGAGCAGTAAAGGTGAGGCTTTCAAACCTAAGAATACTGTACCAAGTGTCAAGCATGGTGGTAGCATCATGTTCCAGGGCTGTTTTGCTGCCAGTGGTACTGGTACATTGCACAGTGAATGGAATAATGAAGGAGCAGGACTTACTTAGCTTCACTTTGAATTAACAGCTAAACAGGTGAAACTTTAACACAGTTTTGTGTTGTGCAGGAAAATGATGCCAAACGCATCAGAACTGGTTTTGCAATAGATGAAGCAGACTAACATTAAGCTTCTGGAATTAGCTTCCCAAAGTCCTGACATCAACCCCCTTGAAAATTTGTGTACAATGCTTAAAAGCTAGTTTTGTTTTGTTTGTTTTTTTTTTGGGGGGGGGGGTTGCCAAATTTAAATAAACTCCACCAATCCACCAGTTTTGCCAAGAGAAGAGTCAAATATTCAGCCTGAATTATGCCAAAAGCATGTTGATAGCTAAGGGATATTAAATAAATATTAGTGGGGGTTTATGTACACTTGTAAAAATCTTGTTTTTAAAAGTCTTTATAGATGTATGCAGCACAGTCATTGTACTCTGGAAAAACAACAGTTCAAAGAAGTCATTAAAGGCCCCAAAGTACCATGACATTCATGCCCATAATGAGTGTACTGTATGTTAATTTCTGACCACAGCTGCAGACTTAGCCTTTAGGTTGGCTGTTTTCTGTGTTTCCAGGAATTCTCTAAGCAAATAAATATCCCAATGACATTTCGTGGCTGTGTGTTACTGTGTGAGTCCCTTTGTTTATGTGTGCAGACATGTACCTGAATAGTTGGCGATTCTGCTGATATAAATGTAAGAACGCTTCACTGTGTAAGGGATGTTCTTATAAGAAATACTACCTACCTACTACCTACACTAATCCAACTAAAATCACACTTAGTCTTCCCACTCTGCAGCCATGCACACACACTTCTATAACCTTTCCTGCTGCTGTTTCCTTTCTGCTGAGAACAAATGTTCTGCTTTTGTCAGAAAGAATACTGTGTACCCTTGTTGAAGGCCACCATGGGGCAGTGCTGAGTCACAGCATGCATCCACCCGTCTTCTTCATTATACTTTACTCACAGTTTCTGTGCTGGAAAAGTGTGATGTATGTTCACGGACAGCAGTCTAAGGTAAAGTGCCTACTTGCTTGTCTCCTTTGTCTGTAGCAGAGGACGGTGCAGATGCAGAGCAGGAGGAGCACCAGAAAACCAGAGAGGGAGGCAGTTATCGCCAGCGGGACTGTGCAGTAGCCTCCTTCCTCCAACACCTCGGCGACTGAGGAGAGAAGGTCACATTGTTTAGTAAAGAAAACGAAAGCAGTGTTTCTGTTTTGTCTGCTTTTTCACATTGCAGCTCATCTGCAGATTTGCAGACTTGGTGGATAGAAAACTGTTTAATTTCCTGGTTTAATTTGTAGTACAGTCATGAGGGTGTGTGCAGAGGGAAGCTGCTCTGAGTGAAGAAATTGTTGCAACAGCGAGAACAAATCGAAAATGCTAAGATTCTAAATGCGTTTGTATTTTTAAGATTTGGGCCTCGGAGAGAGGTTTATAACATCAGCACCCTGTGATGCAGACTCATCCAGCACTGACTTGGCAGCCCTTTTTCTGTACCGCTCTCCACATCTAAAATATCGCTCAGTGATGATTCACATGCTTCCCAATAGAGAGAAGGGGACAGATATTAAAAAAAAAACATGGAGAACAAAGTGAGGAACACAATGAGTGAAAGATTAAAAAAAGAAACAAAAAGACATGTAAAGAGAACGAAAGCAAGACAGAACAAAAAGAGGCTTGACAAACAACTCTCACTGTGCATGTGTGCGTGTGTGCGTGTGTGCATGTGTGCGTGTGTGTGTTTGTATCAGCGAATGAGTGACATGCAGAGAAAGAGCCGAACTGGCATCAAGTGAACAGGTAAAATTGTTTTGAATCTTTAAGTAATTTGTGAGTTTTTATTCAATTATTTAATGTGTTTTAGTGGCAAGATAAACTATACAGACTAAACACAGAGGCATTAATACATTCAAGCACACAAGCAATTAAACACTATGAATTGGCTCTAAAATGTTTGTGGTCACTTTATAATAGCTAAGTTGTAAAAGTGCAGTCACTGAACATTTTGACAATAAACTGTATTTGAATAAAACTGTTTCCTGTAACCTAAATTATATATAAATGCAAACTCTTATATTGCACTCTAAACACAGTAGATGTGAAATGGCAGGAAGAATCAGTGCTCTGTTGCAGTATGCAGAGTACAGATGGAAAATTATCATAGTACAAAAAAAACACACTGCCTTTGCAGACTGATGATCAAACACAGAGATAGAGGTCACTGAAAAATGACAAATACTGAACGTTGCTGCTCATAGACATTCAGTGTCACCTAAAGGTAGTAACTGAGAAGTAAGATACCACAGCACTTACATGATTACATCCTACTACAAGTAAATTAAACTTTTAACTTACAAATACATTAATGCAGTTGACACAAATTATGCAGGTTAAGCCGTAAAAAGGTAAGTGAGGTTACCAGGCTGAAAATCTGTATTTTCTGTTTGTGCACACAGTCCAGTAAAGACTCTCTTAGATGTGTTTTTTCAGGCTTGCTACTTCTTCTTTTGTCCTTCACCCCCAGAGATGCTCGTGTGGGAAATTCCCACCCAGTAGATCAGCAGTTTCTGAAATACTCAGATCAAACCATTTTGCACCCGCAGCCATGCCACGTTCAAAGTCACTTCAATCACCTTTTCTTTTCTGATGCTAAGTTTGACCCTTCTAGAATTATACATTCTTAAATCAGCATCAGACTATCCGGTCTTTAAGCAATGACGTGATGAATCCTGCTTCCGGGCCCAAACTACTCTGCGTTTTTCTTATGAAAAGTTTTTCCAGCAATAAAAGCTGCCGCTTTAAGTTTCATTCCGCGTACGAGTCATGTGTGTTTGGGTCCTACAACCTGCCTGCCACAGCACACCATGACAGAAGTCAAATTTTAAAACCTCATTAATATTTTTGCATAAGTCTCCGTCTATGATTAAAGATTTGTTTCTTTCAAATGTTTGTAAGGGCCCCTCACGGTTCTCCAAATACTTCCACAAGTCCAGTAAGTGTTCTTAACATAACATATTGATGTTATTATTTTTAAGAGAATTTGAACTTATTCTAACTGTTAACATATCAACAACAGTGACTGAAACCGGTATATAAAACTAGAGAATGCGTTTCCTGTAGAAAATGCAGTGTGAATGGTTTGAGTTGAATTTTTATAATTGCTGAAAACAAAAAAAACGTGTTTAATGGGCTGAAATACGCCAAATCATTCACCTGACAGCCAAAGTGCAGAACTGAAATTCACACAGAAGAATCTGGAAACTAGCTGAAAGGCTTGAAAATGTACATAAGAGAAACATGTCTAATAGCAAAAGAAAATTTAGAGCTAGAACACATGAATGGATATTGAAAGCTCATATTCTTTACATCACTGGAAGAGTGGAATTAATATTTTAAATGTCTAAACTCAACAATCTCAGATGAAAAAAAAAACCAGAATATTTTCAGAATGTGTGTGTGTGTGTGTGTGTGTGTGTGTGTGTGTGTGTGTGTGTGTGTGTGTGTGTGTGTGTGTGTTATTTAATGTAACTCACCCACTTTTAGACTGATTGTGCTCTTCAGTGGTTGGGGGAGGGCAGAAACAGAGGCCAGACAGTCCACGTGAGAACTTTTTGCTGCCAGCACACTGAGCTTGCTGGTCAAGGTGAAGAGGCTCTCCTTCGACTCTTCACTGCTGATGTTGTATTCACTTGGACTCACCTCCGCACCGTTCCCCCAAGACAGAGAGGACCATTATTATTTATAGTTTAACATGCTTATTAATTTTAATGTTTACAGTCTTGTTTGTTCAGTAAGCACCCTGAATATAACCTGTTTTAAGGGACATTTCACCAGTGAATGTGTGCTGTACAGACAGATTTGTCCCCACTTCAGAAGAAATTGGAGAAACTGAGCAGTTGGAAGGTGACCAGTGTGTCTGAGATTTGTCATCAGAGGAGGCAACTGCACTGTCTCATTCCCTCCCTCAATGGAGGGAGTGTGTAATTAGTTTAGTTTGTCTGTCTTTTTGGATTTATGTTTTTTCAGATGTAGGGTTTCAGATTCAGATCGGGACATGGAAACCTATATTGGCTAAGCATTTAACCTCGGCCTTGCTGAGTGCTCATGTATAGAAAATAAAGATATAGATTTCGAGGCCACATTTTACTACACCAAGTGTGTAAAATGCTATTGCATGCTCACATTTTACATTTCCCACATTGTTATTCATTTATTATCCCACAACACTTCATTCCAGGCCATTTTCTTTTCCAGATATACTGCTGCTATACTCATTGCCAAAGCCTCTGGCCTCTTACGGTGACATGTTGTGTAGAAAAGGACCTAAATGTGAACTTCAAAGGCAGAACTTGACAAAAAATAAAAACAACCTTTATTCAGCTGGAGTATTAGTCCATAAAACTCTAAAACAGAAAAGAAACTGCTAAATCCAAAGAAGCACAACAAGGCTAGGAGTAAAGGTGGTCAGAAAAAGGGAGACAGAGACTATAAATACACAGAGGGGTGAATGGGGCAGAGTGAGACACAGCTGAAACTAAATCAGACAACAAGACATGGGGACGTCAGACAAAAACACAGCACCAGAGACAAACAACTATCAAAATGACAGAATATAAACAACTTGACAACAGCATACAGGAAACACAGGGGTAAACAAATTGAAAATTCAAGAAGTTAATCACAAGTCCTCCTCATTGTTCCCACATTTCTGTTCATTCAGAGCATGCGCGTCTTTCCACTGGAAAGTCAGAGGATCCGTAAGCTGGAATTCAGATCTCAGTCAGTAAGTTTGGTTTGCAAGAATCATCAGTTGAAGAACTAGAAAATGACAAATAACCTGGTAGGCCAAGGAGCGTGATTCCTTTTATAGACTAGAAAATGTAATCACATAGTGTCTGATCAGTCGAACACAGGGATGGCTGTGTTGTGGCTTGGCATTTATTGATTTATTCACTGCAGACAAAAGCAACAGGATGAGGGCAGATGTATCTCGCAGCATTTGTGTTGTCGGGTTCAGCCAAATGCATCAGAACTCACTGCACAACATTTCATCAGTCAGAACTTCCTAAAGACACGCTGTAGAGCTCTTTAAGGTGAAAGAGGGGAATATCCCTGATTGAGTCCATTATCTGGTCTCATGCACAAGGTATGCAGATATTTATGGGTCAAACATTTCAGGAAGTCACTGAGTGCAAAGGATTTTACAGAAGAAATCTAATCTGATGAGTTTCTTTGATTTAATTTGCCCCTTTTGAAATTCTACATTTGAGGCACTATGTGTTTGTGATGTTAACTACATAAACCTACCTGAATTTAAGTCTTTATATTTTAGAGACAGCCAAAACAGACTTTTTGGGGGGAAATGGCAATATTTTTTATTTCCTTTGTTCCTTCTGATTGCCTGGAGTTCTGGTTACGGTCATCACCAATGATAACGTAGACCTCAGAGGGTTAATGTAGTAGCTACGATTTTATTACTCAAGAAATAGAATAAAGTACTTAACAGTCCCTTTATAGTACCAGATATACTGGCTGCACTGCCTGAGGGCATAGCAGGATATACTACAGGCTGAATAGTAAGAAAAACAAGTTTTAGTTCCGGTGTTTGTTAAATATAGTGATGATCTTGTCTGATTGATTTTATGTATTTACCTTGTTATTATTCACCTCCCATTTCAGAACAGGCTCAGGGTACCATCCTGCTGCTTCACATTCAAACAGGACTGAATCTCGCTGAAAAGCCAACCTGTTATTCCCAAGGATTTTCACACTGCCCTTTTCTGAAATAAGAAAACAGTCAGTCATAAACCTGAATGATGTACTCTTTGCCTTATGTAAGTGAGTGGGTAGGAATCTTTCAGCGCCATCATCAGTCTCCTCTGAAATCCTTCTGTTTGGATGCACGCGTCTCTGCTATCACCTCTTCAGCTGGGCTGTTCACTTACAAAAGATGGATTTCATTCGTCCCAGGTGATTGATCACATGTCTCCAATTCTCAATTGCCTGACGAATGCTTCTCCTTTTCTTTCCCCTTCATCGCCTTCCCTGCCAGCCAAATAAGCCACTTAAAGCCCCGGGAGATACAGTATCTCATATGTGAAGTCTGTTGTCAGGCAGAATGAAAGGTGGTGGAGGCAACACACAATTGCTACAGACAGAAAGATAATTGCAGGAACTTGGGTGCTTTGTCTGAGCGAATGGCATGTCTGTGTTGATTCAGGTTCAAATCCTCACATATTTTATACACATTATTGGCTGTCCCTTTCCTCTAGGAGCATTTATTTAATGCCTGATTTGGTGGCATGAGCACCATACGCACTCCTGTTCTTTGAACCACCCGTTCTGATGGTGGAGTTCCGGTTTTACACAATCTCAGCACCGCCAACTAAAGGTTAGCAGGCAACCAGCAGCCTCATTTGTACTGATTGATGAGCAGCTTCTGGCGATCGTGGCTGATTGATACAACCGAACAGAAAAAGAAAGGCATCGGCACACAAAGCCCCGCCCTACGTGATCCCTGAAATAAGGTTTCATATGGTTTGTTAATCACTGTAGGGAGACTGGTAGTGTGAAGCAGGGGGCTCTCGGCTAAATGTAATTTTAGTGATTTTTCAGCAGGGATCCTCGGGAGACTAAATTGCTGTTCTAAAGGAAGCTTTTTATCATTTGTATGTGTCTACGCGCAGATTTGAAGTGTGCCTGTGCAATTTGTCTTAAATGAACAGTACACACTCTATGCGTGTTTATAAGCTTACTCCAATGAGAATATCTGCTACGCCTCTACAGACCAATTACCACAAGCATTTTCTATCTTCTCTGATTTATCATGTCTCCTTTTCTACAGCCTCGCCTTCACTTCAGTCCCCGTTCGTAGTCAACAGCGCATGCAACCACACTAAGTTGCTTGAGTGAAGGGTTTGCGTAGATGCGCTGAACTAAGCACAGAAAGAGCAGGGAGAGGGTGTAGTTATATTTGCATCATCTTCATTTGGGACAATTTGAGAGTGGAAGATAAGGGGGGGGG